GTAATCGTCTACGAGGGTTAAAAAATACTTGTGGCCACATATGGAAGGTGTGGAAAGAGGGCCCCAAATATCGACATAAAGTAAATCGAAGATGGCAACAGACTTAGTATTACTGTGAGTAAATGGCAAATGTTTTTGTTTAGCCAAATGGCGAGTATTACAGGGCTTATGATTGTCATTGTAGGTGACAAAAGGAAATTGAGAGGAAATACATTTGTGTATGTAAGGACTTAAGTGTCCAAGCCTAAGATGCCAAATAGTAGCAGGATCATGTTTAGCAGGTTCTAATTGGGGAGAAGAGGAGGTGTTGACAAAGCCAAATGTGGGAGAGATGGCCTTAGGTGGGGTGGCATCAAGAACATACAATTTGCCAATCCTCCTAGCTATAAATCCAGTCATCTTGGATTGGGACAACTGTATAATTTGATAGCAATTAGGGGAAAATTTTACATCATATAAAGTGGAGTCAAAAAGAGTGGTGACAGATATAATATTGACATGAAATGAAGGAAAGTAATAAACATTGTGAAGGACAAGTGAATCACATAGTAAAACTGAACCAGCAATAGTTGTAGTGACAGAGTCACCATTAGGCATTGTCATATATTTAGGTGCAATGTGGTATGTGGAAAGGAAACTGGAAAAGATATGGGTGATGTGATCAGTGGCACCTGTGTCAATGATCCACCAGTTATGACAAGGAAGATTCGAGGAATTCTTACCAGAGGAAGTATGAGGAGAGGTATGGGATACAGAATTAACAGTATAAACTGAATTAATCGAGGGAGGTGAAGGAGATTGCAAATTAGACAGTTGGAGGAGCTGGAGAATCTGAGTGTATTGCTCTTGAATCGTAGACAAAGCACTTGGACTGGTGTTTGATGTGGAAGCAGAGGAACATAATGCCTCAAGTTAAGGAGAAGCAGCATCTTGAATTGAGTTCACTGTAGAATCAATAGAATTCCCCACAGATGTAGTAGACTTGCGTTGTTGAAATCCAGGGGGATAGCCATGTTTCATGAAACAAGTCTCAATGGTGTGATTGGTGCGGTTGCAATGAGTACATAGTCGGTTTCCACGGCCACCACGGCCACGACCACGACCAGGGTTGTGAGAAGAACGAGAAGGTGCTTGAGAAAGGTGATTCACAGACGGTTGAGACTCAATTGAAGAAGCAGAAGGTGAAAGAAGGTTGAATTGGCGTTCTTGTTGAAGAACCAGATTAAACACATTATCAAGAGTTGGTAGTGGGGTCATCAACATAATCTGCGAGCGAACATGAGCGTATTGGTCACCAAGGCCCTTCAAGAACTTGATAACTTTATCTTGTTCTTTGAATTTGCGTAAGTCTGAAGCAGCACCACAGGAGCACGGTATAGCGCAAGTACAATCACGAATTGGCCGGAAGTTCTCGATTTCTTCCCAAAGTGTCATCAATTTCGTGAAGAACAAAGAGATATCAAGAGTTCCTTGTTGAAGACGAGCAACAGTTTCTTGAATGTCAGCAATGCGAAAAATATCTCCCTGAGAAAAACGATTTTCCAAACTTTTCCATACAAGAGAAGCACGATCATACCAGAGAAGAGATTTTGCAATTTCCTCAGAAGTCGAGCGTTGAAGCCATGAGAGGACGAGATTGTTGCATCGCAGCCAAGGTTCGTATAGAGAGTCGGAGATAGGCGGAGGAGAAAGAGTGCCATCAACGAACTTGATCTTGTTCTTGGAGATAAGAGCCACTTTCATCGATCTAGACCAGATCTGGTAGTTCTTGGTATCAAGAACAGGTTGAACAAGAACAAGAAAGGGATTCTCATTAGGGTGCATGTAGTAAGGATTGGAAGGATTGGTAGCAAAATCGGAGTAAGGAAGCGCCATTATCAAGCTGATGCAGCAAAGGAAGAAGAAGGCGCGAAGGCGCGAAGAAGAAGAAGGCGCGAAGAAGATGAAAGGAAAAAGAAAGGCGCGGAAAAGAAAATTCAAACTGATACCATGTTAACTTTGGAATGCCAAGAGAGAAAAAGTAAAGTGGAATAAACTCATTGTATTATTCTTATTTTGGAATGTACAAGACAGTACTATATATACTGTTAAGTAACAAACTAAACTGTTAAGTAACAAACTTAACAGTTAAGTAACAAACTAAACTAACTGTTAAGTAACAAACTAAACAGAATTATTTGTATCATGTAATATGGTATAAGAAGTTAAGTGTCTATTGTTATAATCCTCTGATTGAACAAATTATGAGTAGAGTCACTCATTGGAGTGCTAGACTGCTGATTATGGTGGCAAAACTCAGCTGATAAAGAGTGTTCTGGCTGCTATGATAAATTATTGGATGAAAGTATTTCCTTTACCAAAATAAGTGATCAAAAAAATAGAAGCTGCTTGTAGAAGTTTTCTTTGGACAGGTGGTAGTGTGATTAGAAAGAAATCTCTAATATCCTGGAAGAATGTTTAACTCCAAAGAAAAAGGGTGGTTTGAACATTATTGACTTGGATGCTTGGAATAAGACCAACATAATAAGATTACTGTGGAATTTACATGGAAAAAGGTGATAATTTGTGGGTCAAATGGATGCATCGCTACTATGTGAAAAAGATACTTTGGAGACTGTTAAAATAAGGGAGAATTATACTTGGATATTGAGATACATTTTGAAGCAGAGAGATACTGTTAATAGGCTGTCTAGTTGGAACAATTTGATTCAACAGGATAAGTTTAACATTCGAAGAGTCTATAAGAAGCTGCATACTAGGGGTCATTAAGTGCATTGGAGAAATATGTTCTACAACAATATAGCTAGGCCTAGAGCTCAATTCACTATGTGGATGGCTTGCCATGGTAGGCTTGCCACTAAAGAGAGATTACTCATATTTTGGATGTTAAATGATGTATGTGTGATCATTCTGAGACTTTAAATCATTTGTTTTTTTATTGTGTGCACCTGTGTGAGGAATGGGCCAAGGTGCTCAATTGGTTACAAATTAGACATAACCTAAGTGGCTGGAAGGATGAGCTTGAGTGGCTTATTTGAAACAGCAAAGGCAAGGGTTGGAAGCATAGGCTCCTTAAAGTTGTTGCTACTGAGATGCTTTATGAGGGATGAAAGTATATGAACAGTAGAATTTTGGTACACATACGAATATATATGGCAGGGACAATTATAGATTTGTTAGTGTGCATGGGTTGGGGGAACCATAAACTCATGAAGCATGTTGCTGCTCTTATGATGGCCTAGTTTTGTAGTTTCCTTTTGTTGGTTTTGTTGGTTGTTTAGGGTTGTATTGTTTAGGGCTGGATCTATATGATCGCTCTGTATAGTTGTGTTTTTTGATTTAATGAAATCTTCTTTATTTCAAAATAAAAAAGCTAGTGTGTGCATAATATTTCTTGCTACGCACTATTGTCTGCATAGGAATCAAAAATACATAATATAGTTCTAATTTTAACAAAATCTCAATAAAAAAGTGTGCACCGAAAATATATTTTCGATTTGCCGAAGACATTTTTGAAATTTCGTAGTCTTTTTCCCCTATATAGAGTGTGATAAGAAATTCTCCAAAATTATTATATTAAAATACATTTTAAATACCTCATTTTAAAATTTGTTTTAGACTTCTAAATAGGTTGGGCCGACAATGAGAATTCATGACATCATTTGTTCTTAATTTTGTTTACTTCTTAATTTTATTTATTATTGTTGTGAAACTACCAAACTATTAAATGAAATAAAATTCATTTGCTATTATTTTTTATTAAATTTTCAATTTAGTCACAATTAAATTATGGTAAATTAATTAGATTTTTAGTATTTCAACTAGGGGTGTGCATGGTTCTTAAACCAACCCAAATTGGTCCAAATATATGACTTAGGTTTGATTTTTATAACTGTTTCATAAAACCAGTTTATTTTCACAAAATCAGTTTATATTTAGTTCGGTTTGGTTTAAAACCAGTTTTTCATTTAAACCGGTACAAAATTAGATATTTTTCAAACCAGTTTTCAATTTAGTATTTGAAACACTTATTTATATATGGATTTGCTGGGAGTAAAAAGCTCTCTTTCCTTCTAATTTATTTAACAGTATAGGTTATTATTAAAACAAAAAAATCAACCGTAGAAAAACAAAAATGAAAGATCATATATTTAAAAAAGATACATAAAAGAGAAAAAAAATTAAAATTGGTTCAAGTGGTAATGAGTAAATCATGATTTTTCATACAGAAATTTTTCTTTTAATTTTTTATCTCATTCAACTATCCAAACTCTTTTTTTATTTCTAGGCTTATCTACATTTCTTTGAAACTCCCGAGAACATGTATAGGTATATTACATTGCCTTGAGACTTTTTGGAAGCAAAGTTTTACCGAAAAACGGATTGGAGAACAGGTTGGAGGAATTAGTGGAAACACTAGATTCTGATGTAGTGAATGATGTAGATCTTGAAAAAAATGAATCGAATAAGTAGAATAAGAGAAGGGAAACTCTCAGATGATGAAGAAAGTGACGGTTATCGATTAATACATTAGGTTTACAACTTTGTTTTTAAAATGGATATCGGATCTGAAATTGGTTTTTTAAAGTGGATACCAAATTTTTTGGATTTTACTAAAACGGATCTGGACCAGTTTTGATGCCAAATAATTTAGACTTTTAAAATTGGTGCACCTATTTTTTTTAAATGGTTCAGTTGAACTGGTATATTTGAACTGGTTAAACTTATATTTTGAAATTCTCATACACCGTTTTACTATGATGAAACAGTAGTAAATATTTGTTATCACGTTTGATAACAATCCATAGCAATCCATAGGTTCAATGGATTAGGATTGAAAATCCAACCGGATTAATTGCAAAGTCAATGTGATGAAATAAACCCAATTGCCTATTCCACAATCTGGTAATTTTCAAAAACAAAATAATTTCGACATTTTGGGACCTTTAAACTAAATAAGTCAACAACAAAAAAGAAAATAATAATATTATAGTGTTCAGCTACCTTGAAGTGGCAATCTCTTCCTCCATTTTCCGAGCCATAACCTGAAGTCCAACACGGTACTTTCCCACCAAATCCTCCAACACCAAACCTTCAACAGGATCAACAGCGAACAACCATTCAACCACACACCCACCGTCACCGTCACCGTCACCGACAACTCTCATGGTTGACTCATACGACCTAAAGCCAATATTAGAATCCACGATCTGATACTTAAGACACCGCTCAACATCATCAACGGCCACCAGTCTCTCCTTTGACCAGCTCACTTCCTGAGAGCCGTCGGATGGAAGGGAGAATCCCGCACAGTATCGTATGCATCCAGGCTCGCCGTTGGATCCGTGGATGCCGTAACACGTGGCGAGGTTAGGGAAGCGTTTGTGAAGGTTGAAAAAGTCTTTCACCAGTGGCCAGGCTTGCTGCTCGGTGGTGTTTTTGAGATTCGATGAAACTTTGCCTTCCCATCTTTCAACTAACTCTTGCTCCATTTCAGGGATAACACTCCACTAACTCTCACCTTCCTCTATCACACACAATAAAAATTAATTAACCTAACCAAAAAACCTTCTAAGTTCTAATTCATCGCATCAAACCATAAACAATCTATAAATGGAGCACAAAAATGCTTCTATGTGTTCTTACCTGATGTAATCTCTTTATTGTTGCAAGATCGACTCTTCTTTCAACTACTTCAAAAAAATATGAATATTTCTTATGGATGAAGACCATAAATACTTTGTATCATATATAATAAAAATGAATTAATGATTAAACAGATCCAAAATGCAATATAATAAAATATTGGAAAAATCAAATCCTTAAAATGGAAAAGAGAGAGAAAGATAAAGGTTGTGTTTAAGATTGGATTGGAGGGAAAAGTGTATTTTAATTTGAACAAATGAGAGACCAACAATCAACAATTAACGTGTAGTCAGTGAAAAGTTGGAAAAAAATGGAATGATAATTTGTTAGTTACTGAAATGCCCTTTTTTAATTTGTAAATGATTTTATTGTAAAGAGCATTTTAGTATGTTTGGGCAATCTAATAGTAATAATAAAGATAGTAGATGCATAAGTTTCGCAATGCGGTTTGAGCGGTCTTAAAATAAAAAATCATCTGAATTGCAAGAGAAAAAACATGCGATTTGGTTTGGTTCGGTTAGATTTTAAAAATAAATCTAAACCAAATCAAACCAAGCTAATGCGGTTTGGATTTGTTTGGTATTTTACAAAAAAAAAATTATTAAGTCATACATGTAAATATAGAAGAAAATATAATTTTGTGTTTAATTATTCATATATTACCATAAAAAAATTTATAATTCAAAATAAATTTATAATTTAATACATAAAACTACGTATTATAATTTTATCTAAATCTAAAGAATAATATAGACAAGATTGCATTCTTAAATAAATATTATACAAAGAATGTGATAAAATATATTTTGTGAAAATAGTATTTATAAATGAATAATATTTTATTTTTTTATGATTTAAAAATTAAAATAAATATAATATAAAATAGGATAAAATATATACATAATACATGTTGAGATTTATTTAATTGTTGACATGATCGGTTGATTCTAGCAAATTCAATTGTATATAGATAAGGTTACAAAAAAAAAAGTAGATATTAGGGCCTTTGAGTTAGTTTTTAAAAACTGTTTTTTAGTTTTTATAATTAAAAAAGTAAAAATTTGTTTGAATATAAAATTTTGTAAATCTGTTTTTAAAAATTGTTTGTAATTTTAGGAAAAAACTTATATATAACTAGTAGAATACCTGTGCATTTGCACGGATACTGGTGGTATGGTACGCGTATTTGAACTCAAATATAAATTTAAATTAAAATAAAATATTTAATAATAGTTAATATAAATAAAGTTAAAATGTAATAATAAAAAAATTGAACAATTAATATTGAGTAAAAATTAGAAATTAAAAAAAAATAATAATAATTTTAAAATAATAATTTATTATTCGTAAAAATTTACGTAGAAGTGTTCTAAATTTTATGATAATTATGGTCTCTATATGGATTCAAGTTTGATGGTATTCATTATATTATTTTTATGGTAAAATGAATTATAAAAATGGTCTTTGCTTATAAAACTTGAAAAAAATTAATTGAATGTATAATTAATGGAAATTTCTTTTATTAGTAACTTAATATTCCATTAATATTTAATATTTAGATCGGTAACTTCATGTTCCCGTTAATATTCAATATCTTGATCACTAACTTCATGATACCGTTAATATTCAATATTTTGATCAATAACTTTGTGTTCCCGTTAATATTCAATAATTTGATCTGTAACTTCATGTTCCCGCTAATATTTAATATTTTGATCAATAACTTAATATTTCTGCTAATATTCAATGTTTTTATCAGTAACTTAATGTTCCTGTTAATATTTAAAATTTTGATCTGTAACTTCGTGTTCCCGTTAATATTCAAAATTTTGATCAATAATTTCGTGTTAATATTCAATATTTTGATCAGTAACTTCGTGTTCCCGTTAATATTCAATAATTTGATAAGTAACTTCAAGTTCCCGTTAATATTCAACATTTTGATCTGTAACTTCATGTTCCCGTTAATATTCAATAATTTGATCAGTAACTTCATGTTCCCATTAATATTCAATATTTTGATATATAACTTCGTATTTTCTTTAATATTCAAAATTTTGATCAATAACTTTATGTTCTCGCTAATATTCAAACCTTGCTTAGTGTTGTTTTAATAAACCAACAAACATGTTTAGAAGGTTTGAATACAACTTCTTCAGATCAAACACTGGTTAATGATATATCATCAACAATCTCCAACGATGCAAAGATTCATAGTGTGTCACTTGCACTTTTTTTTAAAGGATTGGGTTGGTGATAACAAAAAACAAACATCATCATCACACAATGGAGGAAACCTAGGTTTTCGTAATGGTCGTTGACCGTTAAACATGTCGGATAAAGTGCGTGCACGTTATGATTCAGCTAGAAGACATAGGAGAAAGCTACTACAAACTATTGATGAAAGTGTAACAGTGAGTAATATTATGATTGTTGATCAAAATGGAAGTGGATATTTTACAACTATTAATGATGCTATAAATGTAGCACCAAATAGTAGTGTTGCTAGTAGTGGTTACTTTTTTATTTATGTTGCTAAGGGTGTTTATCAAGAATATGTTTCTATATGTAGCAAAAAGAAGTACTTGATGATGGTTGAAGACAAAATTAATCAAACGGTTATCACCGGTGATCACAATGTTCACAATATTGTTGATAATTTCACCATGTTCTAACTCGGCTATATTCGGTAAGCAAAGTTACACTTTGAGCATGCACTCAGCAGTGTTAAATCTCTTTAAAAAAGTTTTGTTGTCTATTATAATATTTGACTCAAGAGATTAGTCTCTACAATTGCATACAAAAGATATATGATTTATGCTAAAAAAATTCTTTTTAATATATCATGCATTGGTGATTTGTGTCCTTAACTACAAGCAACACATATGTGTGATCAATGCTTAGAATAGAATCAATAAAAAGTCATGTTGATTTTCTTTTTTATAATTATATTTTCAGTATTTAATTACTAATAAGAACTTTACTTACACATGAATTAATAATCTTTACTTCTTGTTATATAGTATACATGAAAATTAATTAATCATGTGTGTTTGACGTGACAGTGTTCACATTTGAATCAATTCTTAATCATGTTTAATTTGGTTAATAAAAAATAATATTATTATTAATCATGTTTGTGTTGATTTTACATGCATGAATATGCGGCTGTGGTGTCACAAGGATTCTTAGCGGTGAACATGACATTCTGAAACACAGTCGGACCAATCAAACACCAAGCAGTAGCAATTTGTAACGGAGCAGATCTATCCACCTTCTACAGCTGCAGCTTCGAAGGCTATCAAGACACATTATACACACATTCCATGAGACAATTCTATCGTGAATTCGAGATCTATGGAACCATCGACTTCATATTCGGAAACACAACTATTGTTTTTCAAAACTGTAATTTCTATCCCCGTCTTCCCAGCACGGGACAGTTCAATGCTATAACCGCTCAAGGACGAACCGATCCAAATAAAAACACAGGAACTTATATACATAACTCAACTATAAAGGTTGTTGATGATTTAGCTCCGAATATTACTACGGTGAAAACGTCTCTTGGAAGGTCGTGGAAAGAGTATTCAAGGACGATTTATATGCAATGTTTTATGGACAGTTTAAAATTATTCGTATTGATTAGAAAAGAAGTCAGAACTTCTTTAACACAAGATTTACAAAGAACTCCAATCACCATAGTTTACTGTGTAAATTTCATTAGTAAAAATCAAGGATAAAGTTAAAATATGCACATGTCAGTATTTGAGAACAAAACTCCAGGTCTCATCCCAAGTGAAAATAAAATGAAAATAAAAGTGAAAAATAGATAATTTGCTCATGGATAACCCTATCAAGTAAAAACCAAGCAACAAGACATTGTGCTTAAAGTGTCAGGTTAAAAAGAGACTCAAAATCAAAATCAGTAACCAAAAGAGAAAATGAACTTACTTTCTCTCAATATAAATTGGTAATGTATATCAATATCAAAATGATATTTTACCTCTATCTAACTGTAAATTACTTTAGTTCAAAATAAAGACTAACTAATTTGGTCCAAAATAAAAAGTCCTTAAGGCATTGTTAGAAAGTTTAATAGTGTACTTACCGACATGCGAGGCATGTATCTACCTTAAAAGCTCGCATGACGACTAAACCCTAAACCAACATACGAATAATGGCTTCATATATTGTAGTAGTCATGTATACTTAGTACAAATCAAATAATCATTTGCTATTAAGTAAAACTCATGAAATGTTGCATTGCAATAATGGTTTGCAATCACCAACACCATACATATGTTGGTTTTCTAAATCTCACTTCCATATTGATGCAGTGCAAAGAAGATGTAATGCCATATTGCAATCATTCTTTAGATTAGAGTTGGAATGAAGTCCTAGTTCAGTGTTGTTAGATATAGAAGCGGATTCTGTATTTTCAGAAATAGCATTATCACGGGCAATCTCCTACCGTGAAACTTGGGCTGCATCTAATTCACAGTTCCTGGGTAAACTTACTTCAGTATCATGCCAGTTAGTATGCTCAAATGGACCATTAGAATTTGATGACAAAGACATGTTTAGTTCTTGTGCGTTTCCAGTTATTGCGTGTTCAACACATCACTAACTAACAAATTGGTTCAAATCAACCAAGTTTTATAACTATGTCAAACCATGTCATAATAAACCTGCAACATTAACACAAATTCAACTCATTCATTTATCAGAATATGAACATTATTTTCATAATATATTCCAATATTTGAATGGCATCTTCAACTCTATCACCAAAATAGTATTAAACACAATTATTACCGATCGCGACATACCAATCTAATTTATTTCTTGTATTGAATTCCTCCCCAATTTATCTTTTTGTTAATGTAGCAGCATGCTCGCCGTCGTCGAGGCCAAATCTAGCAGCTTCCACACCAATTTGCGCACGTCCTGGAAGATTGGAAAGATGTAATAATGACAAGAGGAATTTCATATAGGAATGAATTCCCTGTTGTCAGCATTTGCAGCAGCAGAATTCGTAATTGTAGGATAAAAATCAAGAAACTCGGACTTCAAGTTATATTTTAAATCCAATTTAATAGTCTTAAAATATGTTCGTATGACATCAAGCTAAGTGCAAATGCATTATTATCATATAGCTAATATATAAAAGTTGGATCAGAAAACATAAACCTAGATATATGTTTCACTTACAAATGGGCTTAATTTATCAACAATCATTTCAAGAAGGTTGCTCTCGGCCAACCATTGCATCACATCAATAAAATTTGGATACATGTGGTCATGGACGCTTACTAATTGAACTGAAGCATGTGCAGCGAACAAATCTCAAAATCAATTGTTACAAATCCAAAGAACTGTTATAATTGAGAACCCAAGGAACTGTTATAATTGAGAACAAAATTTTCATATCTCAGAATAAATTCTTACCAATCCAAGAATCATTTCGTACACTCAGCCTCAAATAACTATGATACCTGAAATTATGAACTATCAACTTATTCATAAGCTCTCCATATTAGTTTATGAAAACGATATAATAACTTATACGAAAACAATGTTATTTTGTTGATGCCATAACATACATGTTATTGTTCTTCTCATAACATATAATCTGCATTATCTCTCTGCATTATTCCCAACTTAGGCAATGTGACAAAGCCTAGATGAGAAAGCTCGAAATATTGACATGCAGTCAAATAAAAAAAGTTTTAAGTTTTAAATTATTGAAAATATCACAAAAAGATCTAATGCCAGGAAATGTTCTGGGAATTAATGCTCTAGGCCTCTGGTTGACATGATAAGAGGTTCATACTTCTTTGTTGGATTCATACACCAGAACAATAAAGTCCCAATAATATCGATCGAAATAAATCAATTTTGACCAAAACTCCATCTCATGTTTTGGTCCGAATTCAATTGATTTCGGCAAAATAATCAACTTCACAATAAAATCTACAAAAGAATAATGTGAACAAAGAAGAGATGGAGGGAAGAGACCTTAGAGTCACAGTAATTAATGATGAATTTGTCGGTTCCTTCCTGGAGAACAACACGAGTGACGATAGTATTCCGGCGACCGGTGCCGAAGATAGTTTAAGCGACGACAGTTTTCATGACATTTTTATCTAACACTTAGAGAAATTTTCAACAGGTTTTGGTCAGTTTTTATCTCAACTTCTTGGCCAATTTTCATCAAGTTCCAATTTGATTTAGACAAAGTGGTCAACATGAAAGTTGTAGACAATATTTTAAGCTTTCCAAAACATCAAAGAGCATGAATTTATCATACTTGAGCTAGGAGATTCAAAGGCATGAAGTTGGGCATCCATTCTTGAATTACAAGTCATTTTTGTGAAAAACACATAACCCAATCTACATGTTATGTTGCATAATCTTGTGTTGCAGGCCTTCTAACTTGCAAATCTCACCATAATTTAATGTTTAAACAAACTACATGCTTTTGTGTCAAAAATGGAAAGATCGCTTGGACAATGTTAAAATCAAATGGACCATAGCTCAAAAGTTTTGCAAATAAATGGTAAGATAACACTATTTAAAGGAGGAGGAAAAGAACAAAGATTTCTTTTGAGTAGGTAGAACGCTCGTAGTTACTTGCTCACAAATATTCCAAAACAAAATATCCTTCAACACAGTGACACTTTCAAAACATCTTTTCAAAACACACCAACACCTTCATGAAATATTTTTAAAAGTCAACGTCTTGTATACATTTTCGCCGCATTCTTGAAGAAAAAAGATGAAAAGTTTCTATTTTTAACATGATTTTTTCCTATATAAATGAAGCTTCTCCTTATTTCAAAATACACTAGTTTTCGTGATAAAAACTCTTAAATATCCTTATATCTCTTATTCTTTTAAAAAGTTCTTTTTCGCAAGAGTTTCTTAGTGTCAAGAAAGTGAAAAATTTTACCTCGGAGTTGTGTTGTATTGGTAATGTTATGTAATTGTTTACTTAAGAACTGGTTCTCTTATGATATTTTTGTCATCGAAGGTTATAAGGCAGACTCTTGTAAAAATCTTGGACAAAGGTTATTTAATTTATCATGTGTAAAAGCTTCAGCGTTTAAGGTTATTAAGTTGAGATTGTATAAAAGCTTTGATTGTTTGTGAAAGATTTTTGAATTAATCCTATAAAAAAGCTCAAATTGTTTTTATAAAGTTGTTTTGGTTGATCATGTGAAAAAGATAAGATTTTTTAATAAAAACCTTAAAAAAAACTCTTGAAGAGTATAGTAGGTCAAGTGATCTAGGTCAAACCAAAATAAATCTAAATCTATAGTGTGATATCTTTGTCCCTTTCACTTTTATTTATATTATTTATTTTTATGTTGCTTCTTATTTCTTGATCTCTTCTGTTTTCTATTATTTTACTGCTTCATCTCTATTTATTTATATTTTTTAACATAAATCATTTAAAACCAAGAATTTTTATAAATCAGTCTCTGAAATATCACAATTCACCCCACTCATATATTTGATGTCCCTTTGACCCAACTTGTTTTATCACTCCAGTTAGTATCACAATTCCAGGGCAATATGGTCAAAGGCAGAAACCGACTCCAATATCTCATTCATCCTACAATACATGTTAATAAATATATCAAGACAATACTCTCTCCTAAATAACTCAAACTCGATACATATTATGATCAAACTTCTATATGATGGAGCCTTGCATAAAAATATATGCTAGTGGGGTAATTTGTTTATGCAGAAGATCTAGCTAGCTCTGTATGAAGCATATAGGACCTGTCCACATGAAAGATTTGGAAGAGGTGAAAGGAGATAGAAGGGTAATTGGAAAGTAAGTGTTTAAGAATAAGGACATGAATGAGAGGAAAGGGCCTGAAAGGGTTGACTTAAAATCACAGAGAAGAGGAGATGTAATAGTATGAATGTAGGGAAACTCAAGGACAACAGATCATAAGGTTTGCTGAGACGGTCAATAGTCGGTAAAGTCGAAAATGGAAACCAAAAGGGGCATAGAGATCAAGATGAGAACATATCAAATCATAAGAGTTTGTACCTGATGAAGGGACCAAGTAAATCCCTACAATTCATCTTCTCCCTGATCACATATCAAAGTACATGTTACCAGAATAAAAACAATCAAATTAAAAAAATAAAAAATAAAAAACCCAAAATTGATGAAAAGGATTTAATGACTCTCTAATTTCAATTTTAATCTAAAATTTTCACTGCCCATCTAAGTCATCCCATAGCAAAAATGGACTAAAATAAAATTAGAATAAATCAGAATAAAATGAAAACAAAATCCTAACTTTTAGCAATGCTAAATGCTAAAAGCAATGTTTCACTACCACTTTTCATCTTATCCATGACTTTCAACCCATTCCCTTATGCTTCCTCATCTCCAATACTTTCCTGTGGGAATTGGAATGCACGTCACTGCAAAAAGTTGGGCTATTTGCAGGGCGGTATTCAGGCACAAGTCGGCCAGACTTATACCTAACCCCGCATGCATTACAAAGTGTTTTTGGACCATCTGGACCAGCCCGCCATTGTGGTGTACTTTCGGCTCCACAGTGATTACATTTCCTCCCAATGGCTAAGGTTTGTACCGCTTGTTTTTTTGAATCTTTGTTACTCGGTAGTCTCCACGAGAATAGCTGGTTAGAGGTGTCAGCAAGGCCAAGGCGAGGCTTACTGCGAGACTTGCTCCGTGCTCGGACAGGGAACTTTATGTGATTGTAGCCACTTAGCAGGGTAATGCTGTTGCTACTGTTATTGCTGTTGCTACTGCTTGTGCTGTTCTCGAGCATCGGGGCTGTCCTTTGATACTTCAAAATATCTGGTTGAATGCAGGCTAAGTCAACAAATGTTTCAACAGCTGGAAATGCATCTTTGTTGGATAGCCATTCAAGCTCTTCTTCTGCACACTCCTGGAACATGAAAATAATCACTCATGAGTATGGAAAAAGAGGTTCACAAGTCAACTCAGACATTGGACTGATGCAACTAGAGTGAAATTTGAATCAAGAAATTAGTTCCAAATGAAAGAGATGTGGCTCGGCAACACGGAAAGCTTGAAACAGTGATCACAAGTAAAGACAGAATATATTGTTGTGACTGTAGACACCTATGAAACACAAACACCACAAACACGACACTGACACGCGACACCTGTAACAATTTGAAAAAATTAATAATAAACGTAATCACAAGTGTCGGTGTCGGTTTAAAGCACAGACACGGACACGCCTTTTTTCAGAGGTGTCAGTGGTAAAAAGAAGACACAACAATCTAGGATTTTCAATACAATGATGATACTAAAAGGAAAAACATGTAAGAATCTACAATCACCTATAACTATTCTGCTTTGGACAAGAAGAATATAACATATCACAATTCTAAATTTCTAATTGATTCCAACCAAATCATAATTCACACACTCAATGATCACACGTCAATAAGTCAAAACTCGATCAAAAACCAACATATTCAATGATTTTCTCATGACCTTGCAAACATTTTGGAAAGGTTGAAATGGACCATAAAACTTACAGACAATGAATTTGGATCGACCAGGTCTAATGTATCAAGCGACAGTTGATCACCGCTCTTCGGTTCAAGTGAAGGAAAGGTTTTCTTTGTGTTGTCATCATCATCCTCGCCTATGTCAGATGAGAAATCCAAAAGGTCATCCACAGAACCAAGGGCTTCCATCCCTGAAAACAGATAAATGTACATTGAAGTTCAACAGTAGGTTTTATAGAGATAACAAATGGCAGTATCACTAGTGCCGTGCAAACATAAAATGTAAAACAGCGAAAGTACAAAATTTTCACCGTCTAAATAGCATTTGTGATTATACTACAAGTAAAGAGAAATAATTTTATGCAGTCACTCCGGTCGGGATTATTAGATTATTCATCATTCAGAGCAATTTTAAGCAGGTTCATATGACTGACTTATACATACAACAACCCTCTTCAACATATAGCGCAAACCAGTGTTGTCTATGGCAGATGGCGGACCATGGCAGAGAGCCAAAATCCCACCATAACAGCCGCTTTGTGGCTCCGTCATAGCGGATTATGGCAGAAAAATCTGCAATATCGACTGATATTTACCATTGCAGCGAGCGAGCCCAAAAACTGCCACTGATATCCGCCATAGCACTGCCATTGCAGATATTCGATAACACTGGTGCAGACAACTTGGAATTGCCACAATTCATCAGCACAATGTAATTAAATTATTCCAGAACAAAAAGAAAAACAATAACTTTCATACACACAATAAAATTTATTATGAAAACAACCAGCTTTATCTAAACAAAGAAAAACAAGAGAAAGACATATTCAGTTAAATAGAGATGATTACCGATAAAGCGAACCGATTAAAAGACAGCAATTGAACAAAATGAAGAACATTGACAATAAACAAACAATTGAAGAATTGTAAAAATGCAAACACACCACATTTTACAAATTAAAAAAATTCAATAAAACATAAAAATGAGGAACATGAAACAAAAGCAATGCAGTAACCTTAAACTAAAAAAAAAAACAAGAAAAGGGAAAAACCACAAACCCATGAAATGTTTCAACAAAAACCACCCAAAACCAATCCTCAAATTAATAAATTAATTATAAAAAAAATAAAATAAAAACAAATTTAAACCTTAATGAGTAAAACACATAGTCAAATTAGACATGGTGAGTGGTATCATTAAAAAAAAAAAGAGAAACAATGAAAGAACAAAAAAGCATAAGAAGCAAATAAAAGAACAGAAGCTACCAGCTTTTGCGTTTGCGTTTGTGTACTTGTTGTTGTGAGACAAGAGAGCGAGTAAGAAGCAGCAAAGAGAGAGAAGAAACCCCAAAAGAAAATTGAGAGACTGATAGAGCGAACGAGAGATGGTGAGGCACGTGTTGGGGATTAGGGAAACTCCATTTCTTGCATTTTTATTTTGTTTTACTATTTTACTTAGTATTTATCTTAAAACATTGTTATTCTCCTCCTTTGTCTTTTCATTTTTTTATGGATTTTTTTTTTTTGACTAAGCTATCTTCATTTTTCTTAAAACTTAAGTTAAATGAATTCTTTTCATTTTTTAAGGAATTTTTTAGGAATAAATTAAAAAAAAAATTTATTTTGAGATTCTTGAAATTACTTTCATTATTATTTTAAAATACAATACATTATTGTGGTCAAATTAAAATCGTATATAAAATATAATTATTATAAAATATATTTAAATATATTTTTTGTTACAATGTTAAAATATATCTTAAGTCCTATTTAAATAAATATTTAATTTATTATAAAATATATATAAATTTAATAACCGTTTATAATCTTTTATTTTAACTTTAAAAAAACAGATGATGTAAATTTTACGTATTGTCAATCGATAATAATAATATATTATGTCAAGTTAAATTAAAAAATTTAAATTATTTGTATGAGTGATATATTTTTATTAAATAATTTGTACTGTTAATATATCTCTATTAAAAACTTTAATTTATTTTATAAATTTATTTTTTAAAATTTAAATAATTTTTATTTTTATTTCAAATATTGTACTCAAAATTTGTGTTTTGTCCCTTTTTTTATTTTAATGATATGTTACTTGTGACATGTGATTGTATATAAGAATTCTTGTGAAACGTAATATGTCATAACTCATAAGTGATATATAGACACTTCATCAATTTTAAATGTTAAATTATAAAAGAGATAGTAATTATTTGAATTTAAAATAAAAACATTAATTTTATAAATGAGTTAAAATAGAATATTAAAAGTGTAATTAAACTTTAAAATTATTGAAACAAAACGAATGAATCATATAAGATCAATTTCTTTAATTTCTTTGTAAAGTCTTTTATGACAAATTTTTTGTTAAGGAAATTTTTTTAAATAATAATATTTTCTTTGAGTTTCATCGTATTTTTGAATTAATAGTTTTTTTTAAATGGAATTGTTATAAATATTATTTTGATTTTTTTAAAGGAGATTTTTGATGCATTTTTATCTTGATTTGTTAAAAAAATATTTAATTCTTAACACAGTCAAGATTTAATTATAGAGATTTCTTTCAATAAAAAAACAGTTTCTTTATTTATTTTAAATATAATTTAAAATGATGTGTTTAAAGAATTTTATCTCAATCCATTTGAATTAAGATGCATTGATAGTTTGGTTATAAAAAAAATATATATTGAAATATTATGTATATTGGTGTTCTGGTTTAGGGTAAGGCCCAAACTACTTGATTCTTATAGTGCATAAGACTCAAAAATACATGTTAAATGGGTTGTTGGGTTCATCCAATGGTCCTTAAATGAGAGTCAAGAAGGACTATATGCATTGATTAGAAAGACAACTAAATGAATTGACGTCAAAGCATAAAAGATTTTAAAAAAACAATAAAGAATGTTATAGTACTTTGCAGTCCTGGGATGGACATCCATTAGAAGTACATTTGATCAAAGTTGATTGTGTTGAGATAAAATCTATTCATACTCCTTCGATTTTGATTATAACAAAAGTACTTAAAGAACAATAGGATATTCTAATATTTGCTTAAGTGTGCAGGATCATTAAGTTGTTAATTAACTTAGTTATGACCCAGTTAAATGGCTTATAAAGAAGAAGCAATTCATATTCTACTAGATCAGAATCTGATTTTCAAATAGAACCTTAGCACCATGTTGACTCAACCTTTGATGTTTAAATAGAACTTCAAAAGCGCCTTACTGGAAACATAGTACAAACGTCTGTTTGTCTGTACTTTATGCAAAAGCAACTCCATCTTATCAACTGCCAAAATTATGGAGAAAGTTAATTAGAGGTTTTAGCTTAAGGCTTAAGGCGCTTCTTGACACAATCTCTTATGTCTACTACAGCATGCCTACAAACGCCTAACTTGAGAAAGACACAACGGATAAAGATATTATTCAGAAGATGAAGATCCTTATCATACCTACTCCAATGTCTCTCTCTTGGAAACCGCTTCTTCAGCAAAGACTCATGTGCAAGCAAGCTTCCAACGTATCTTTTATTCTCTCTATATAAGGAGTTGAAGATTCAAAAGAAGTAGTAACAATACACAATAACACACAACAAGAAAGTACAATAATGTTTTCGCTCTCTAAGCCTATGTACATAAGTTGTTGTATTGCACATAGACTTGAGATTTTCTTACACCTGTATATCTTAAAAATCTCAAGCAACAAGGTCTATATTTGTGATGTATTGTTTGTACCTCTAATTGAATATTAGGTACATCTTGTTGTAATCCTAAACAATTTATTTAGAATTTGTAAAAGTCTCAAACAACGTGTTTGAGCAAGAAAGTCTCAAAATGAGTGTTTGAGCAAAAGATGTCAGAGGAATTCTCTTTTGTATAAGAGTGTCTAAAAGTATCATACCAACAGGCAGTGTCGTTACTTAGATTTAATTTCTGTATGGAAACTATTCTTTTGATTTAAGCAAAAGCAGAGAGAAATAATGATTGGTGTTTATGAGTTCATGTTCACTTAAAACAGATGTCAAAATTAAGGTGAAAATAAATGGAAACATATTAAGAGTGATTGAGTTGAGCTATGTTCCATTAATATCATTAGTGTATTCAAGTTTTTATGGCGTATGGTGTCGTGACTGGTAAGGTCAGAGTGATCTTGTGGTGTATCTCTACAATATTAAAGCATGCATAACAAGGGCAAGAGAACAAATCTTTAAGCCTCACTTATAACCCTAATATGCGTCTATTAGTATTCTGAAATCCTCAATAGTTGTAGTTTCTTATCTCTAAGTAAGTTAAGCAAGTGAATATCTCTATCCTATCCTACTCATTCCACTATTTTCATTAAGAAAATCACTTGTTGTTGGATCTATCACAACAACAAGATTAACATATAATAAAACGAATAACTTAATCACACACCATATAACATGAAAACACTTTAATATTAACTTCACATTGCTCAACTACAAAAGGTTTAGCTCATAGTGAGTCGAGTACAAGCTACGAACATGGTTCTCAATAGGAACATCTTTTTAACAATAAATGAAGAAAAAGATATAAACATAAGAGAGACTTGGATAATGACTTGAGAGGGATAGCCTTCAAAAGATATCACATGTCATGCCATTGCTCACCAGCTGGTACAAGATTGGGTGAAAAGAGAACTCTACCACACTCCATTATCGACGCACTAAACTCTTGGTGTTTTCTCTTAAAACAGTTGAACTCTCCTTCATTTCTCACTACAACTCTATTTATAGATCAAGGATTAGGGTTTGTGTTGCCTTGGGTCATAGTCCTAATATGATCAAATCACATCAAGCCCATACTAAAAAGTAGAGCCATCATACAAAACCAGTTGCTTAGCAGTAAGCAAGGAATCTAGTACAAGGAGACCATGGTGGGAGACAATGTGTATGGTTGAAGACTACCACAACAGATGCAGGCGGTGCACTGTCCTTTGTGCAGTGTACTATTATACCCGATTTTGTCTTTTAGAGCCTACACCTTTGTGCTTTGAATTTGAATTATTTCTTCCTTTTTTTCAGCACAACAAAGTGTTCCCTCCAATTTATCTTTCTTCCACGCTATCATTATCAGCTAGCTACTTGCAACAATTATTCCCATTTTCCTCTTCGTCCTTCTAACTTCTTCAGTTTGCGCTCTCTTGCAGTAGACGACTGCAGTCTTTCCCCAGCTCGGCTATGTTAACTTTTTACTCACACAAAAAAATATTAGCAATAAAAAAGGAGCACCTATTATGCTCCAAGCTAAACAAATAAAAACAACTAAAATGCAAGAATTTATGAGTATTAAATTGATAAAAAGACTAACTAATAGAAACTAAAGGCGTGTATTAACTCATAAAATGTGGGTTCACACACCCCCAAACTTAAACCATTACTTGTCCTTAAGTGATACGACGGGCAAAGATAGACAGAACACATTCCAAGTACACATACCCTATTTAACAAGACCAAACTTTTTCAGACTCAAAAATCTTCTCAAGGGACTTGTCCCAAAAACAAGTATAACTCAGTCCTGAAGCACATTCTTGAATGTGTATGCTCTTTGGATCACTAATACTCTTTGTCTCGACATAACTCTTTGTCAAGTTAGCCAACCTCATTTCAAATTTTGGTTGCTTTTTCCTATGGTTCAACCACTTAATTTCTAGCTCTTAGTAGGGGGTTTTACTTTTTGTTCTTGAACTTACACCTAGGACTATGCTTGTATTTATTCAAATTCCAAAGTTTGTTTGTAGTTGACCCCACCTTTTTTCACTAGTTTAGATCTCACTTGCGATGAGTCCAACTTGTTACTAATGGTGAAAACAACTACTTTTCCTCCAGACACGGACACTGAAACTTATTAAATATCTGCTCTTCCAGTTTCAGGCACAAGAGTTGTTCCTCCAGTTTCGGGCACAAGAACTTTATTGAGAAATGCCTTTCAGAAACTTCTTTTTGCAAACTTTGGTGTGTTTATTCAAGCAAATGCAGTATTCTCAGAGTGTTCCAGTCCTTTTAACAGATATATCAACCACCCTAACTAAGCCTTACAACTAGTTTTTATTCCATAACTAAGCCTAACCACCCTAATAAATTTATCTACAGGTTGCCTACTTTCCATACTATCAGAGTCACGACAGAGATTATCAGTAACATAAGACTAATGCAAAAGAAACTCCTCAAGTCCTTATTACCTGTATTGTTAAAGTCCCACTGTAATTTCTTCTAAGTCTTTCTAAGATTGTCTGCTCTAAGGGGAAATCAACTCAGTATGTTCTTCTGTTCTTATTCTATTTTTATTTTTTTTAGCATTAATATAAAATAAAAATGAAAACTAAAACTACTTAAAACAGAAAAGCAATTCATTAAACCAAGGTTGAAACTGCCAACAAAAACAATAGAAAATTTTCAAAAGGCTGAACACAACCAACAATAAAACATAATTAAAATAATAAAATATGAAGATATGATGAAGTCACGACTATAGCCACCACTTCCCCAATCTTAAAGCAAGGATAGTAACCTCATTTATAGTAGATGGGTGGACGTGCTTGTGTCCTCAGCTTACCGGCTAGGCATTTATCCTATGACTCTTGTGCACAGGGTCCTCTTTTGCTTTCTTTCAAGCCTCCTTATTGGAAGGCTCAAGGGTTGACAACTTTTTTCTAACAACTTTTGGTGCCACATGGATGATATCAGCCTTGACAGGGACTTTCTTAGGAGGGGTCTTTGCCTTGGCTGCTGGCTTGGCTGGGGAAACTTGCTTTTTAGTTTTCTTGGCCGGGTAAGGAGTGTTGACCCTTACTGGCTTCTTCTTCTTCTCAGAGGTGATTGCTTAAGTCACATTAGTACTTGTCTCTTCAAGGGGTTCATCTTATTGCTCCAATTCTTTCGAGATTTCAGATAAATCTTCCTCCTCCTTAATTTCGTCCTTCTTCTCCTCTTCTTCCTCCTCCTCACTCTTTTGTTCTACAATGTCTTTAACCTCTACTGACATAGCCTTAACTCTAGATTTTTCATTGTCTTGATCTTCCTCCTCACCAGAATTATCCTCAGCCGCATCACTTGAATCATGCATTTCCTTATCATTATCTTCACCCTTCTTTTCAAATTCACTCTTATTTTTCTCTTCCTCCTCATCGACTTCAGTGTTAAATTCCTCCATAATCTCTTCATCAATTTTCTCAGCAATCTTCTCAGTAACCTTCTTTTCAGTTTTTGTCTTTTTAGATGTATCAACTCTCATCTCCTTTTTGTCTTTAGCTACTTCCTTCAACATTTTGTTTAAGGTTTCCTCTTCCTTTTCTTCTTCAACCATACCTTCATCAGTCACTTGTACCTCTTCCATTATTTTCTTCTTTCGCTTCTCCTTCACGAGTGTCTCTCCTTCCTTATTTGCTTTATTCTATGGAGGCTTCTCAGGGGAGGCATCCTAAGCCACGCCTGATATGGAGGTGTAACACCCCATTTTCCTCATAATAATAATTATAATAAAATCTATGAAAATACATCAGAGTACACAAGTAGAATGTCACATCTTTCAAAAACCCATCAAGTATCAAAATACTCTATTACTTCATTTCTCATAAAAGAACTATTTATACAACGAAAATATATAATTATTCGTTCTCATAGCGCTACGACTTTAATAACAACATTCTCCACAAAACTCGTGGTTCAATATAAATTTGAAGTTAAGATATGTAACAAATACGACATATACAAAACATAAACAATTTCCCATAATATCCTGTGTTACATATCAGAGCGACTCCTAAGACTTGATCAGGCAACTCATACTCCAAGCACTACTCACGTACCTGATTATCTGTACCCCCAGAGGAGCACAAACACAATAAAAGAAAAGGGGTGAGAATTACATTCAATAAATATACAGTGAATATCACATGCTAAGGCGTATTAATTCACATAATTCATTCACTAATTCACACCGCAAACATCATTTGTATAACACAACATCAAATCAACATTGATGCAATGCAATGAGACTAAGACTGACTCAATGTATGTGGTACCAACAGGGCATAAGCCCTTTCCATAATGCCAAATAGGGAAGTAAAAGGGCATAAGCCCTCAACATAACTCCATTACATGCCAACAACAGGGCATAAGCCCTCACCAATGCATACATGCAACCCCAAATTGCAACAACATAATTATGCAACCACAGGGCATGAGCCCACAACATTATGCTAATACAAGCCACCAACAGAGCATAAGCCCTTACCATTTATGCAGTGATGACAATAGCAAATAGTAACGATATACTTGCATACATCCAACAATGCAACATCATTGTATCGCACTTCATCAAACATTTCAACAATGTGGTGTCATAGTATCACAATCCACTACGCATATTATCGATCTATCATGAAACATTCAACAACAACAACATTACACATCATAACATCATAATATTACAACATAGTATCATAGCATCACAAAAACTAAGCATATTAGCAAGTCCTCATATATATTCGACAACAATAACACTACACAACATAATATCATAGCATCACAACCACTAAACATATTATCAATTTATCATGTATTTTTTATAATAACAACATTTACAATAACATAACATCATAGCATCACAACAACTAAATATGTTATCAATTTATTATGTATATTCGATAGCAACAATATTTACAACGACATAACATCCTAAGCCATTCCTTCATACATCATTCGTACAACAACCACATGTTAGGTCACCTCACTTAACATTAACACCATACAAAATTCCCACTAAGTTCTATGTTTCAACATAATTCCCATTATTACAAACCTTCTATGTCCGCCTAAGTCATACTAGTAATTGTTGACCAAAAGAAACTACACTGCATGCAAAAACGGGAAAGAAATTGTGAAAATATAATTTTCTGCACATCAGCCTGCCTATACGCGTATGGCCCTACCCTATACGCATATGCCCCTTTTCTCGCCCCACTGCCTGCGCATCAAACGCATAAGTCCAAAACGGCCAGATCCCATACGCGTATCGTATGTGTACCACCAGAGGGAAATTTACCCCAAAGCCTCTCTAGAACTCCCCATACGCATATTGGTTAGCCCATACACGTATGGCCTTCCTCTCATATATGTATCATACGCATCCAACAGAAAGTCGTGCTGGATTGGGGACAAGTTACGTACCATACACATATAGTCCCTGGGCGTGTCCCCTCATACGTGTATCATACGCGTTTTAGAAGAAAGTCGTGCTGGCTTGGGGACATGGCGCGTACCATATGCGTATGGCCTCCCTCATACGCGTATCGCCAGTCTACAACACAAAAATCTTATTTTTCGCATCAGTACGAATTCTGCTCATTTTATACACTTCTAAGCTACCAGTTTGACCCAAAACAATGTTTTTACTCATAACAACTCATAGTCATAATCCAATTTCATTCAACCATTATTCTATAACAACTTTTCGCATCAAAACCTTACTTTTATCATTTCTCTCTAGATCGACAATTTCAATTTAGGAATTTCATAGAACAACACCATAACATCAAAGATTACCAACAACAATCATATCATGGACATCAAATTATTCACAATCCTACATAGAATCACATAGGTATTTCATCAATCAATAAAAGAAATCATAATACACCAAATCTACACAAAACCCTAAGAGGGAAAGGAACCCTCACTATCCTCTCATGTTATAATCACCATTTAAAGAACCTATTCTCCCCCTTACCTTAGTTTGGAGCTTTGATCCTTCAATAACAGTGAGATTCTCCTTGTATCCTTTTTCCCTAACTTCTCTTATCTTATCTTCTTTTCACGTGAAAACGGTTTCTCCCAATTCTTTATACCATTCTCCCAATTATTTCCCAGAACTAAACTAAATAATGCACCAACATCCCACATCCCAGTTTCTGATTTGCACACTAAAACCTCCACCTACCACTTATACTTCCCTTTCCTTGACAACCTTCTTCTTCCCTACAAAAATCTTCATACAACAAAGCCATTTCCGAAAACCATAACCTTCCTCCATGAGACCACTGTGTTACTTCTCACTTCCAACCATTTAACTTTCTCCTTCAACAGCTCCTCAAACCATTTCACTACAATCTGAACCGCTTATGTTGTTGCATTCTACAACGCCTACACCATGAACCATCTAACACCTCCCAACTCCACCTTCATTTTCATCTTCATAACAATTCAAATTCAACAAGTGTCGCTCGTTTGACCAATAAGAGATATGGTTAAATGAGTTCAATGTAAAACCTTCCAAGATGATATTAGTGATAAACATCATTTTATTTGAAAATAAATTCATAATCAAGCATTTCATCCAAAGTTAGTATTATGTGATTAAACAGTTTTGAAGAATGAGTTTAATCTTTCGGCATATTCTAGTAAATCTATTTCTGATGACACTGGAATGAATAAGAAGAATGATACAAGCTTTATACAAGTAACATCTTGGGGTAACATGTATTTAAAAGATAATTAGGTTGGTGAAAATTAAGACCAATGTTTATCCTGAAAATGTGTACAGACATGAACAGAGTATTCCACCACTTCAAGTTTCAATTTTGCAGCTAAAGGACAAGAAGATGAAGAGATGGGAATAAGGCACTAATGCAATGTTGTTTGGATGAAATAGACAAATAAAAGATATATTTTGAACCTTTTTAATATTGTATGATACTGATGAAGTACTTGATCATTTCTTTTCCTTTCCATTGCCAGACCTTAATTACAAGAGAAAGCTACATGATCAGGCTGAGGAACTATTGAAGTAAAGGAAAATGAGGACATAAAACATTAGCTATTGTGTAAAGACAAGTTAAATGTCAATGAAAACAAAAACTAATGTATACTTGTTACTGCAATTAATGGAAAGCGAAAGCATGTAGTCTATTGGATGGATGCTTAGTACATGAGGGAAAGTTCATGAGTTTGAATCTCATGTACCAAATGTTTTGGGATTAATTTCCAACTTTTCATATGATAGTTACATATGTCTGACATATCACAATTAAATAAATAAAAAATAAATAAAAAATACTATCCAAGCATGCCACATAAGCATACTGAAGATTCTATGTGCCATTTGGATCATTAGGGTCATATTGGAGGGAATCTGAAAAAAGTTAAGGATGAATCACAAATATTTTTCTTATAGGGGGGTCAATAAAAACTTACTACAATAGCAGGGGCTAACATATATTTAACCTTTTTTTATAATTATTGCACACCCAATTGTGCTACGCACATCCCCATTTATATTATGTCTTTTACATTTTGGTAAAAAAAAATTAGTTTCCGCAATCTCGTTGAAATAAAAACAATCATGCAGAGATGATATACAAATTACATAACACTTGAGATTTTTCTTGGCACATATTATACTACACCTCTATTGTCCGAGGTGGAGCACATACATTCATGTGATGCATATCAACGATCTTGATGGGACAAATGGTTTGTTCATGTGTGATGTCCACCTATACATCACTGATTGTCGAGCTTTGACTAGATTGAACCTATAAATTGTATGGGTCTTATGAGTTATTGGTCAGCCTCTAACATATTTAATTTTAGAGGATTTACTATGTGTTAGTTGAAATAAAATTGAGTTCAGATCTAATAATCTGATTTTATCCAATTTAATTTTTAGTAATTTAATTCAAAATTTACACTTTTAAAAACTTAAAATTAAACTATTTTATTAGTTAAAAATAGATTTTAAAGTATTAATAACAAAGTATATTTGATATATGGCTTGATAGAATTGTAATGAGAGTAGTTAGTCAATTATTTTGGTTAAAAAATGGGTATTTTTTTCTAAAATGTAGCAAAAATATTGAGAATTTAACTTGACACTCTTCAAGTTTGACCTGTCACCCCCTTTTTTTATTTTATTTCGCAAATGCCCTTAGTTAGATGGAAAGAATTTTTTACGACGAAATTTTCGGTATTGGTTGCCAAATTTTTGATACAAATGAAATTTATGATATTACATACTAGTATTTTAAAGTTTCCGATAGTTCATTGAAATTTTCGGTATTCCAAAAATTTCAAATTTACCACTTTGTACCAGAAATTAGTATATATTGAAATTTTCGGTAGTGCATTAATTCATGGTTTTTTAAGATCAAGATTTTGCCGACATCTTTGTAGGATTCTGATTGCATCGATAAATTCACGTGTTCTAGAATACATTGTCATTTGTATAAATATGGGGCATATGTTATAGAGAAAAACATCTATAAAAAAATGTCTCTTCCTCAATTTCGGATTAAGACGGAAGTGTATTTCAATGGAAACAACCCTCCTGTTGAATTC